ACACTGCTGTCTTTAAGTTTTTGTATTCTTAGTCATGGAGTTTAGTGATGAGCTGGATAATACTGGATGAGCATGGAGAAGCTGCAGCCTGGAAGCTGGAGGCTTCTTGAAGGAAACACTGCACACAATGTGTAAAGATGCACCTCGTTAACAGTCCTCAAAATAACAATATTTTTCCAATATATTTCAAGAAAGGTTGTCTCTTTATGACAAGATATCGGATATGCAAGCTAGATCGCTGCTTGGTTTTTACATCGTGCATTGTCTCTTAAGAAATTGGATGTGTCACCATGCATGTGTTGCTCTGCATCTTTAATAGGCTTTGCTCTTGTACTGGAGGATGAGAGTCCATTGAATTCCAGTAGTCATGTGCAAAAATAGAAATTGCTTCTGTTAATTTATTGGGATCGCAGAGAGAGAGACTGGTGCCATTAGCATATTGCAATGTTCATTGCAGAGGCTGGTAACTTTCCTTCTTCCTTTTGGAATTTGCTTGAGCAAATATTGTGCTCTCCCTCACCTTCCTGCATGGGGTATTTCTTGCTATGCTCTATTTTCTCTACTTCAGCTGTTTAGAATCTGCTTATAACTTGTAAGAATTCAGATGTTTTTATTATGTGGAGCTGTCCTGTAGTTGAAATCATGAATGTGGAATTGCCATTGATGGTTATTTCATGTATCTAATAGAGAGAACTGGGGCAGTCCCTCTGCTGAGAGTTGAAGCAGAATTGTTCAACTAAAAAGCTTGTGCTTTTGAGACTCCTAATGGCTTTCAGTGTCCCTTGGAAAATCCTGAGGAAATTTCTGTGGATGGAAAAAATGCTGTTTTCCCTGCCCCCTCCTTTCCTTAAGCTGTTGAAAGGAAACAAAGGATGACTTCTCAAATTAGATTTCCTTTCTTACAGAAATGTTATCAGCTAACTAAAAAGCTGTGCCTGTCTGTGTTGTACTGGATATCGCAGGAGATGACTTTTTTTTACTGGCTGTTCAGTGTGTTTCTTGTAAGAAAACGTGAAGGGATCAGACCTCAGTTAGCTGTAATTCTATGCTAGCTTCACCTGCAACAACTTTAGAAAGATCCAAGTGTTCTAGAAGACAAAGTAGTAGCTTTGCATAGGAACCAGTACCTGATTTTTATTTATTTTTTTATTTTAACTGCATTCTAACTTTATCATTTCTGAAGCTAGCACTCTTGTTAGTTGTCTAAAAAGGCTGTTTGTACCAAAGAGAGCTTGTCTGCCTGTTAATGAATATAAAACACACCTTAATTCAGCTGGCTTTTCTGTGCTTTATATCAACAAAATATGAAACTGCCTTTCTTTCACATAATGAGATTCCCTCCAAAGGTGACAATTTCAGTGGCCTGAGCATCTAAATTAAATGTCTTCCTAATTGTGAAGTTCTTGGCAGCTTATATCCTAAAACTATAATGCAAGGAGTAATCGTATAGGATGTACATCTCTTACCAGAGCATGTTTTCTCACATAGCATAGTTTCATTAAACGTTACTATAATATTTTGAAAACTACTTGAGGCAGCTTCTAGGTTTTTTGTTTGGGCTCTTTGGTAATGGAAGTTCTTACAATCTGTGAAATGTGCCTGTTAGATGTAATTAAATAATGATTTCATCTCTTTAAAAGTACATTTTATCAAGTAGATAGGCCACTGAAAGTGAAACTAATGTCATTGCTTATTGATTTGTTTGTTCCCAGGCAAACCAATACAACAGCATAAAAACAAGGTTTCTTTTTGTCAGTCAAAAATGCAAATGATTTACAAATTGCACTGTAGCAATCACAGTCTGGTTCCTGTGATGTGTTTTTTTCTATTTTCAGGGCTGTTTCCGAAATTGGAGTATTAAATTCTGAGAATAATCTTATTTTATGCATGTGCCTCCTATAATCTTCTCAGGAGATGCATGGGGATGCTTATCTTCAGAGCACCACATTTGTGACTTTTCTTTGCAAAAACTGCTCACTCACCTAAATGGCCACTTCGTGTGGAATCAAGAGCAAGTTCTAAATAAACTGAGAAGTTATGTCCCATCCGTGCCCTCCCCACTGCCCCCAGGAGGAGCAGAGGGAATAAATTGTTTTTTACTCCTGTAACATTGTTCAGAACGCATGCATATTAAATACAGGGATTGTGGAATTCAGCATCACGATTTTTCTATCGCTGTGGTATCAGGATGTTGTGTCAGCTGCTAGGTAAAACAGAATAATATCATCTGATCAATGTGAAAAGATGTTCTTTCGTACCCAGCTTCCAGTCTTCTTTCTCAAGTTTAGAGAGAGTTACTGTGCTTACTATCCTGTTTCTAGGTTATGAGATCTTGTAAGCTGATAGCTTTGAATCTGGTGTGGCAAAAGGTGTAAACTAGATATTTGGTTTGCAGTGGAAATAAGACACTTCCTAAGTTGTACCTGTATGTACTGACACTGTTCTATTTCTCTGCTGCTACCTTAACATTTTTTAAGGCAGGTTGGTTAATTTGAAAAAAAACCAACAACACTGAATAATAGTAACTGAAAGGACTATGCCTTGATTGTGTAGAGATACTTAACTCGATTATAAACCAACAATGGCAAATAAGAAGGTTATCATTCAGTGTAATTAGATACATTCTGTTTTGCTCTGTTGTCTAGGTAGCAAATGGATCAATGCTCTTAGATGTTTGCTGCTGTTCTGCACGTATGTCAGGTCTGAGCCAGTATTCCTCTCAAGAATCTTTTTGTTAAGAACTTTTATAGAAAGGCATATGTTAATTAGGCACAATGTATAATGTTCTGATTCAAACTAACAGATTAAAAAGTATAACCCACAAATGCACAAGAGTAAAAGGGCAGTTTATTTTATTTAACTTTAAGGGATGCTCTTACGATCAGGTTTTTTGTGTGGGCTTCTTTCTCTGGCTAATAGAACTGTGTCTTCCACCAGCTTGAGGGAAAAAAAAAATGCTGAAGGCCTGGGGTGGAGGTCAGTCACAAGAGAAAAGCTTTTGCTGCTTTCAGGACTGCGCTGTTGCATGGTGATGCTCAGGCCCCCTGACCCGCCTTCCACCCACACCACCCTCCCCCTCGAGCAGATGCTCAGAGCTGCTGCTGCTGGAAAATTGAACATCAAAACAGGCTGGCAGGAGGTCTGAGAGAGTTACTAGTGCATTTATTCCTATTAAACTTTGGTAGTGCATTTAAGTGAAAAAACTGAGCTGTTGTATCTAGTCAAGAAGTGGATTGCTTTTGTTTCTTTTGAGCAAAGTTTGGAAATCCTTCTGAGAACGTCTGTATTTAGACACAAGCCAACAACTTCCAAGTAAGTTATTTGAATTGTTTAAGATTAAATATTCTAGAATAAAAGAAATTGTGTGATAGCTGAGATTCTTGGCTTCCTCCCCCAGTTTGGGAGAAACTGTGTTGGCTAGTTGTAGAGAGGAATTTGTTTTTTCTGAGGAGGAAAAAAAGACTGCTTAAGCTGTGGGGAAGTTAGTTCTGTGGCTGTTTTTTGCTTTTTGGCTTATAAATTGCATGTCCAGGCATAGTTTGAAGTAGTTTTCTTTTAAGATTTGCCAGCTTTTGGGGGACAGAGAAGAATGAACATATCTTATATTTTATTTTTCACCTTGATTGCAGTTGTCTTATTTGAAAGAGTTTCAAAGCTGTCCATTTTCTGTTCATGTTCTACCTAAATATTAGCTTATTTTAAAAAAAAAATCAAGTGAAAGGTCATGTGGTTTGTTATTTGAATCTTACAGTATTTGACTGTGTATCTAGTATTATTGCATATTTGAGTTTCGTAAATCTCTACTTTCAATGTCCTAGCAATAAAAATGTTCTTCCTTGCCACCTTAATAATTCTCCTAAGATAGAACAAATTGATTTTTAGAGTTACCAGCACCTGATAGAAAGAAAAAAGACATTTTATCCATCCCCATTATGTTGACTTAGATACTAATGCAAGGTGAGGCATTCCAGCGTGCAGGCTGCAGTGTAGTTCAGTACGAGTTCCAGTGCTGATTTGCTCTTCTTGGATGTCTGGGCTGTTAGATCACAGTGCAACAGCACTAGTGAGTAATGTTTTAGTATTGTTGTGATGCTATGCTGCTGCCCTTGTCTATTTAATGCTTTTACCCAGGACTCGGAGCGCTGAAGTAGTTTTGGAGGAAGGAGGGGCAACACAAAAGTCTTCCAAGTGCTACTGCGGGGAAATTCTCAAAGGGTCACTGTGTGCATTACTATTGCACATGCCTGTCTAAATAAACATCCGTCCTTAAGAAAAAAAAAGTAAATATCATGATTCCAAAAATACTTTATTTCAGGCACTACCGTTTAACTCGTACAGCAAGCTTAGCCTGTAGACAAAAGGTTTCATTTTCTTATTGTAGCTTACAAAACTGAAAATGTTTTAATGTTAAAAATGCTTTAAAGCCTTTTTAAAAAAGATTATTTTAAAAACCAAACAAAACTTAACTGACCACTTTTTTTAATTGGTTCTGAACTCAAGAAGTAACTGAACAGAGGTTATATATAGATGTCAACATAAGTCTCTTTTTATACTGAGTGCAAATTTGTTACTGTTAGAACTTCTTTATGAAAAATTATAGTGTAACAGAATATTTCAAGCAGTTCTAGGGATTTCTTTGAGGTTGTGGGGTTTTTTTATTGTAGAAGAAAAATTAAGTTGTCCTATATCTTTAAATATTTTAACCTTTTTAACAAGCTAGTGCTCTGCAACCGCACTTGAACACAGGAAACCTTTCTTCTTCTGTACCCGTCATCGCTTGCGATACATCCCCCTACTGTACGCTCGTTCATTTGTTCCCTGCCGCGTCAGTCAGATGTGTGCGGCTAGCAAACTATCCTGTCACCGCCGTGGGGCTCTGCCTGTGCCTGGGACTGACAGCAGGTACAAAGAATGCTTTCAAACAGCCTCGAATGATTATTTTCTTTAAATATATATATATTTCATTTCTTTTTCTAGTCTCATTTTATTTTAAAAGGGCAATGTCTCGTCTTTGGTATGGGAAGAAGGGAAGAAAGCATCAACCAGTTAATCATAAATATGCTCTGGTAATTTTCAGTGTAGTATGTTCATTTCTGTTATTGCATTCTTGTAATGTTGTGGTGCAGAGACAGTTTCTGGAAGTTTAGATTTTGAATGTGTAAACAGGATTCCAAGACACAAATTTTCATTAGTTTTAGGTGCATAACGTAATTGCTGATATTCCACTGGCATTTAGATAAGAGAAACTACTTTAAGCATTCAGAAGTCCAGCAGTTTCAGGGTGTTGTGGATTTGTGGTTTTTTTTTTTTTCCCTTTGGAACAATGCATTTTTTCAAAGAAAATATGATTTATAGATAAATACTGGAAATGGTAGTTTGCATTGGCATTTCATTAGAAAAGTGTAAATATCTCGAGTTACAATTGATTATACTTCCTCAGAAGTAATTCAGTCATATGAAGGTCTGGTAATACTTTGAAGTCGAGGAAGTATGCTGTATGCTGTGGTCCCACTCGCTTTTAAAACAGAAGTGGACCGATACCACTGTTTTTACAGTTTGAGATTTATGTAAGTAAGTGGGGTGTTGTTTTTACAGTGCTGTTTTCCCTCAAAAGACTTAAATTTGTAGTAGTATATAAGGGAAATGGTTCTCAGTGCGGCTTGCAAAAGTAACATCTTGGGGATAGGGAGGAAGTGATCTTGACAATATACTTGTGCTTTTTACCAGCTGATAGATGTGGAAGATATTTTTCATTCAGATTCTGCCTGTGACAGGCTTTTTACCATCTTTTTAAGAGTTACAAATCTCTGGCTTTTGGTGCATACATCTTTCATAGGTGCTGCTGACTTTGGTTTCTATTTTGATCTTTAGATGTAGCCAGATTACTTGCAGAATATGAAATTGTTATGTGGCAATAATTGTTTCCGTAACTGGGTGTTCCTACACAAAATATTTTTGAAATAATTTTCCTTTTAATTTTCCAGAGAATGTAGAATGGAGGTGTAATGCCTAAATTAACTCAAATGTAATTTGAGCATGCCCTGTAGTGGTGTGAAATGTATCCGAACTTCACCAGAATGTGTTCTTTAATATCTATATATGTGTGTATATAGGTATGTCTTGCCCAGCTAATAAAAATACTAGTATCCATTGTTAGAATTATTTCCCTCAGGACCAACACTTCATTTTATCCAGTCTAACTATGTTGATAAAAGCAGTAGTTACCAGGTCTCAAGGAGTGGTTAAACTGAAGACAACTGTATGAGAATCTTTGCCGTAAGAGGAGAGACAAGTAGAGAACAGGTTATTTTAATGTATAAAACAAGTAAAATCGGAAAAAAAGAGTATAGAAGCTTCTACAGATGGGCATATTTTTTAAATGTTGCTATGTCAACAACACATGCTGTATTCTTGAAGTTGGGTTTTTTTCCTTCAATAAATGATCGTCAAACTGATGTGTGAGTGTAACCTTCTTAGAGGAAAGAGGGAAGTAGTATTGGTACAATTTCTTCTGTGTTACGCGAGAGACAAAGTGGGAAGCATATTAAACAGACTGGCAGCATTTATGAAGTACATGTTTTTTGACTAGATGTTTCATTAGTGGTTGCTCTGAAATTTGGATGAAAACCCAGCTGACATGAAATGATCATTGCTCAACCAAATGGAGTGATGTAATAAAACAAGTGCACTTGGCTTGAAGCAAGTCAAGTGCCTTAGGTTATTTACCTGATGGCCTTTGTTATTTTCATGGTGATAGAGTAAATTTGGGCTCAGCATTGTGGGGATTTGATATTTTCTCAGGATCAGAGATGGAAATTTTTATGAACAGCCAGCATGTTATGCCCCCACTTCAAAAAGCCAGCAATGTTGGTTTCCTGTTTTTTTTTTCAGTAAATCTGTTTGGTATTTAATGTGTCTCTTTACTGTATTGCAACAGAAGAGATGCCAGTATGTTTCTAGAATGTCAAAAATGCAGGCAACCATTCTTTCTGTCAAAGCACTTTAGACAAAAGACATCGAACAATGGAAGAGAACAAAAGGTGGATTGCCTTCTTTGGGAATGCTTGTCGGAATGCTTTGCAGAGCAATAGGCAGCACAGCCAAAGGGGACAAAACCAAGGAAAACTTATCTTTGGCTTTTTTATTCTTAATGTATTATGCAAAGGAAATGAAAGTGGTGTTGGTTTTTTAATAGCTTGAATAATTTGAGACTTGGACAGCTTCTGAGGTTGTTGATTTATTGGTTAACTGTAGCTGGTGAAGCTGTAGTTCTTTGACCATTATGGAGTTATAATAATAGGGGCTTACATGTGAAAGATGAGACTTTAGTACTTCATCCCTGTGGATGTCAGAACTGCAAGGTTGCATCAATACAGTAATACTGCTACAAAGACATTTTTTAAATCAATTTTCCGCACTAAATTTTGTTTTATAGTGATCCGAGTGATCACTAAGCCTAGAACTTTTCCTTGGTTACAGGTATGTCATACCCACTGTCCTAGGTAATGAGGGCGTTATGAATCATACCTTGACTAGAACTTCCATTTAATTATTAGGTATTGTATTGGTTACATTTTTAATAATTGTGAAATATTAGGCCTCACTACAAGTGCAGTCAAGGTACAGTAGCATATGAACATTTGAAAAAGCTGATTATATGTTGAAAGAAAAGAAGCGAGTGGTAGAGGCATATATTTTTCTCTGTGTGTTTTTAGTGGTCTATGCAATCTGAAGTTGATCCTTCTTCTGATTAAAATGAGAGACAAACGTTTCTGTACTGAGCTGTGTTTGTTACCTCTAAGCATATATTGCACTTTCTTGTCATACCCTCTCTGCATGGCACTATCAGAACTGAGATGGAACCTTGCTCAGCCTGCCTTCTCCTGGAGTGGCAGTTTGAGGTCAGGGACCAGGTGCTGCTGCAGTTCCACCAATTGAACCCCTGGTTTCTGTGCTTGCTGGTGCTGGAACTTTCTCATGTTTTGTAAGAGAGAGAGTTTATTGGTAATGCTGCTACAGATCTTTTCTGAGTCAAGTTGCCTGACCTGTCTCTTTAAGAAAATAATTTTCATAAATCTAATACCTCAGTCTTTGCACAGGCATCCTAAACTTTGTTTAATGTTTGCCTATGTTAAATTTATTTCTCTTGCTAGCATTATAATATCTCTCCAATTAGCGATTTCTCCTACCTTGGGAAAAAATAGCTGGTTATAAAGGTTTCGAGAGTCGGTGTAACACTTCCTGTGTGCTGCAGGCTTTAATTGCTTTCTTCTCAAATCATTTATTAATTCTGGTTGTTGCAGATGTTTTTAAGTTATCTTCAGCATGTTTTAATTGATACTCTTGCTGTGGGCTTAGAGCACTTTGAGGCAAATACTTAGTAGTACCATTCTGCAAAGCTAAGGAGACAATGCTGACCACAGGAAGAGTGTTGCTGTCATGTAACATACTCAGCTCTTCTGTCTCTACTCTGGAAAGCGCCTTGATGTGCAGAATGGTGCCAAGATGGCCAGGTTTAAAGGTATCGAAAAAGAGAAAGAACCAGGACCAGTTCCAGTTGACAGTACCAGCCAATTCAGGGGACTGCTGTTATTTTATGGGCCCTCTCTTCTAATTAAAATGCCAAGCTCTTGTACCTTCCCTTGCTTGTCATCAGTAAAGTGACAGGGAGCTGAATAAGCTGAAAGCCATGAAACAGAAAATGGTTAGATTTTGCAACACACTCATTAAAAATTAGTCAAATTAAATTTTTTTAATCTTAGTTTGGTTGGAGCTTTTTTTGTTTGTTTGTTTTCCAGAATGATACCTTATAACTGTTTATCTGATGTGGTAATCCCTATCTATTAATACATTATTTTAATGCAATTTATATGTCCCAAGTAATCATATTTGTGATTCACGATTGTATTATGAAGACTGCTTCTTCGGTTTTACTTTCTCTCAAGTGATGTCTAACACTCTGGGAGGAAGCTAAATTTGTATGAAAAACAAAGTTAGTTTTTTTCTCTTTAAGATATTCCCAACAGCATTCAGTTCACAAATGCACCTTTTATTTTTATTGAAAGGTATTTACAGCCTTTCTTCCCCCTCCCCATTTACTTTTGGAGATGGACTGATATTTTGCAGTACCTTTGTAAATGGCCTGATAAAACTACATTGACATTTCTTTATTTTCATCTTTAAAGGTGAATTTTTTTTTTACTCTCAAGAAATAACATTTAACATAACATAAGCTTGGAGTTCACCTGATTTTACACAGATGTGTTACCATTCAATGTAAAATAGTTCAGTCTTCATTCTCTTTCTTAATATTTGGTTTTTATTTCATATTTGCAGTTAATCATGAGGCTATAGATAACTTCTCTTGAAGAAAACAGCTTACACTGTTATGCCTTCCCCATTCTTATCTTTCAGGAGCACTGTTCAGCTATGATTAAGACCCTCCCTTTCTCCGAGGAGAAGGTTTCAGCTACATGATAATGCTGGAAATTTAGCTGTACTTGTTTTGAGTTCAGCAGTTACACTGCCCTGTTAGCAAACGTGCATTTGGTGCCTGTGTTGGTCACTCCTGGCTTTGTTGAACTGGCAGAGGAATGCCTGCCTTGCTAGTGTGAGCAATTTTTGTGTTTACAGCTGCGTATAGCAGATTGATGTGACCAGTGGCTGAAAGGGCTGAAGTATCCCTGTCTGCATGGCAAATTGCCCTGTATGGACATTCAGGCAACTGTGTTTTCATGTGTGTTGTTGAAGGAGAAAAAAGTTGTGTTAGGAGTTTTGAATTCTCTTCTGCACATGCCAGCATAGCTTGAAAGAGAGAGTTAGGTGTTCTTGACATACTTTCAGAAAAATTACTGTCTCCAAAAGGAGAATCCTAAGTCTCTTGACTGGTTTGCAAACCCCCAATTGAACTTACTGTGTTAAATATTAAAATTGCTGTGTGTTGTGCTAAGTGGTTAACTCACATATACGTCATGTGGAGAGTCAAGCTGAAAGGCATTCACGCTACAAGAGTCATATGACTCATCTCATGCTTTCTCATCAATGTTCCTATTTATGAATAGAGCAGGTAGTATTAGATCTCTAAGGATATATCCCATGTGATTTCAAACTTGTTTAGCCCTGGTAGGCTGTTTCAAGTCCCTGAGCAGAATCACTTTTACCCTGAAGCACACTGATCTCCTGGCCATACACGTTATTTGTTTCGGTCTTCCAGCCAGTGCCTAGATTAACCGTAAAAGGTTTAGCTGTTCTTCTGCATTCTTTTTGAAGCAGAAAATAAATGGAGAAAGAAAAGAGAGTCCTTCAGGAACACTTCTTGATCCTCAAAAAGGACGCTGGTATGGCACAGAGAAGAGAGCACAGTGTACAGGGCACATGGGAAGTGCAGGTGGGTAGGCCTGCACTTTAATCTTGGGCAGAATACTTACATCACTACAATGTCGGGCAGTGTGACAATTTCTGTGTGAAGACATGGACTGTATTGGAATTTGGAAAGCCTTGTCCTGTACCTTAAGAACTTAAATGTAAGAACTTGTCTAGATTGGCTCAGGACCTCTTTCTGAAAGCCAGACTTTGAAAGCCTCCAGGGATGGAGATTCTGCAGCCTCCCTGGGAAGCCTGTTCCAGTCCTTAACCACTGATAACATGAACCCTTTGAGCCCAGCATTCTAGCCACTTTTCCAGCCTCGTTCTTTACACTTTTCATACATTACTATAGGCTACTATAGGATAGACTCAAAAGCCTTAGTGAAATACAAATAAATGGCAATCCAAAATGAATTTTATTACAAAGAAACATTCTGCACTGAAAACCGTGGCCCAGTGGATTCATACAAAACTACATTTGTCTTTCACAAATGAAAAACCTTGTATTTGTAATACCGTGTGAAAAACTAATAAAGTTCTCTATTTAAGAATGAAATTTCTAAGTGGAGTGAGGTAGAAAGTAGCTCCTGAAATGATCAGGAGAACAGACAGATGATATAAGAGGGGCTGGCAAGGGAATAAAATCACATTTATTTTGTTTGGTGAAACAGAGTAGAGGATTAATATGATGACACAAAAGGAAAAGGAAGAAATCTTAATGGAAGAGGAAACAACATAAGTAGACTATGAATTAAACCAGGTTATAAAACAGAATAAGTGCCTAATTAAGAATACTACTAAGATTTCAAAACAGCCCTCTCAAGCCTTGCAGGGACAAAATGCCAGCAGTTATCGAGATACATCTCAATCAGTTTCTGAATTAAGTTGTAGAAGGTAGTTGCCAGTAGGTTTAGACAATCATGACTTCATGATTAAAGGAGCAACAGAATCCTGAAGTACCTAATCTTGTCCACTGCAAAACAAAAATAAAGCATGTTGAGCTAAGCCATAAGCATTTTATAGAAGATTAGGTACAGTGGCTGAACTATTGAGGTATCTTAATGTAGTCACTTAAGGCCCAGTTCAGTGATGACTGGATATCCCTGAGACAGTTTGGCTTGTGGTTTACTCTCAGGATTTAATATGGACTGTACGCTTGAAATAAGCATGGAATTTGAGAGGGTGGATTCCTTGCACTTAAGATTTCTTGTTGATAGTTTGACGTTCTATGACATGCACTTTGTGATGTTTGTCACTAGGCAGACTTTTGTTCACAAAAGAGATGTAAAGATGTAGCGTGATGGTGTGCAACAGGTTCAGAATGCCAAGGAGCTATTATTGTGAACATACTTGTATAAGTATTTATCTTTCAGGTAAGAATTTCATTAAAATACATGTGTACCTTGTTCTGAGGATGCAGGCATCCCCATCACACATGGAAATGTGTGTCAGATCACTGAGCAAAAGGATTGATAAACAGTTCCCAGGTGCAGGATGGTGACAGAGCATGCGTTTGACAGGTTGAAGGCAAGGCAGCATTGCCTGTGAAATTGTCTACGTTCCAGTACATGAAACGCCAACTGTTTCTTTTTGCAAGAATCTCATTAAGTAAATGCACATTTGTGATCCACTTTATCTGCTGCCTCTCATGTGATAGAGTCTGAGGTTAAAGAAGCAACAAGGCTAACAGGTCCTTACGTCATTGTTTTTCAGAATTACGTTCATAAGATGGTGTGAACAATATAATTTACAATGAACTGTCATTGCGAATAAAAGGACAATTATACAATCACTTATGCTTGAGTGGAATACTGTTAAAGCTTTGCATATAGCTACTTGACTCTGAGAATGCACAAACCGATACAATTTACAACAGCGTTCTTGATACTTATTAAGAGAACAGTAGAAAATAGTGGAAATAAATTGAGTGCTAGTAATTAGATTATTCAGTAATAAAACTGGATATCACAAGTATTCCTTTTTCCTTGCCTTGCAGTTGCATGGGGTAGAGTGAACCATCGCTGCTCAAGAGCCAGTCATGCATGACTGTGGGCTCTGTACTCAGGACAGTGGCGAGTATCTGGCCAAACTCCTTGTAGTGGGGGCAGGTAGATGGGGAGCTGCTGGACTTGTGGTTATCTTCCTTTGCGCTGTGGTAGGCTCTAGAAGTTTTTAATACACTCTTTACTACATGGGACATCCATTTAATCTCTCCACCAGCTGTTTTAAGATGCTTTCATACAAATGATGATTTTGAGTTGTTCTCAAAATCACATTATTTGCTGTAGTTACATCAAAATTACCGTTGTAGTCCTTTAACCAGCTCGTTGCACCAGAGCAGCATGTTCTAGAGCTTTCTGACTAAAGTCTTTCTGGCTGTACACTTTCTGCCCAAGTGGAGGTGCCATTCCAAGTGAATGTGTTGACAGATGAGCAGCTTCTGAAACTTCAGGGGTGAATAGGAAATCTAGGTTAAAGATAACGTGAGGTGGTATTGGGGGCATTATTAAACTTCAGTCCTGCTACCTTGTCTTAACCTGTGCCTTCATTGTGAGATAGAAGAGTCAGAACCTACTGAGAAGCCTGAGTTTTGCTTCTCGTCTTTATTCACAAAAGCAAACCAGGTTCATGGGATTCATTAGTCTTCGGTGTAAAGTATTTGAGAGGACTTTGGGCTGAAGAGCTTGGGTTAAGGCATGCAACTCTGACTTTAAATTTAGCATCTTGATACTGGTAACTTTATGCACTCCTATATTAGTTCTTTACTCATCCTAGAGCAGTGAGATGTATCTGACTGCTAGTGCCATTAGTGTTTTGTAGTTTTGCTGTGTCTACTCATATGTCTAAGATCACCTACACGTGCACTGTCTTTGCAGAAACAAACATCTTTTAGCACTTCTTGTTTGTTTGTTATCATTCCACATTTTGCCTTCATTGCTCTCCACTTTTTTCATTCTTACCTTTTTACTTTTCTTCAACTGTCAGTGGAATTATTGTCTTCCTGTCTCCATATTCAGGTAGTGTCAGTGGCTGAGTATCACCGCAGGATCGATGCTCTAAATAGCGAAGAACTGCGCACACTCTGCAGACGTCTCCAGGTGCCCTCTTCAGTAGTTTAAACCCCTTCTCAAGATACTAAAACATCTTTCTTTGTAGTGTTTTTTGATCAGGGCAAGTCCCACACTCGGTGGGTTTGTCTTGTCTACAGCACTACAAGGATCCAGCAGAAAATTCCTTTGTTTTGGATGTATTTAATTGTGCAATGCTCGGTAATTTTATGATGGAGTTATTACTTCCAACTTCTACAAACAGGAATTTTCTGTCACAATTTGAAAATTTGTTCTCAGTACTGCTTGACTTGGAGTGATGTGTTTTAACTTCCACTTTAGACTGGTGTGTTGTGTTAGATAGAAGCTTTCCTAAAAAGAATGCAAACCTGATGAAGAATCCAAAACCTTGTTGCATGGGTGTTTAATTTTATGTAGGAGTCTTTCATCAAGAATCTCAGTACTTGGCAAATATGAAGCTTCACAACTTCTGTGGAATAAGTAAGTATTTTTCCTGTTCTACAAGCAGGTAACTGGAGCAGTTTGACATGGCAAAGGTCATACGTGTGGACCTGGTAATGAAAAACTGTATGTTCTGAAAACAGTACTTGGGTTTGGATTTTTGAAGGTTTGCTGATATGAGCTTAAACTGATACTTGCATTCTCTTTAGGTGTTTCTTAGTTCCTTGACGGTTCTGAAATTGTTAGCTGCTGTGTGCACTGTACATAACTTACTGATGGAAAGCACAACCTAGAACTCCTTAGAAGCATTTGAATATGTTGTTTTCGTGTAGTGGGCTGCTGGAACTAAAATGTTGCAGTTTTTTCCTTTTTTTTCTTTTACTTTGGCCTTGACTTTTTACCTATTATGTAATTACAAATAAGAAAGCATTCTCTTAGCTCTTCCATTTCTATTTCTCTAGCAATCAGTAATTAATTGCTCGAAAATGTTTTGTAAATAGTACGGTGACATAAATCAATAATGAACACGAACCCAAAAGCTGCAGTTCTACTTCTGTGGAAAAATCAGAAATTTTGCAAAAATTTTCTTTCTCAGCTAACCAGTTCTATTTCTGGTAAATGGTGGTGGAGAATCTTTGTATTAATATCCTGAGAGTGCAAGAAGCTCTTTCCACATACCTTTTGCCTGGAATGCCCAAACTCAAGGAGTAGGCCAACTTGAAAAATCTGATGTGGTGGACTGGAGCCGTGAATTCTCTGCTCTGAGGCCATTTATGTGTTTGTGGTGTAGACTGTGTGGCAGTTACTAACACTGGAAGCCCCTGGAATCTGACTACGGGTCAGTCTGTTCTGTAAAAGTTTAATGCGAAATAAATGTGCAAGTTTCAAAACTACACTGCCAAAGTTATGTGTTGAACAGATACCTTTGAATAGACAGATGTCCTTGTCTGCTGCTACAAAGCAGTATTCTTCCTAGAAGACAGTTGCTTTACTGTAGTAATAATAATTTTTAAAAAGACAAGAAATCCAATCAACAAAAACGAAAAAAAACACCAAACAAAAAAGCAACCCCCACTTCAGTGCAAGTTATTAATGTTTTACATGGTGCACTTTAATCAGAATTAAAGAATAACAAAGGCAATAAGCTATCTGCTGTACACTTGAACAATTATGAACTTTTATCGAGTTGAATGTATATGACAGATGAAAAGCATTTAAGGTAGAGTTAGATTACCAAATAATATATTTTAGAAGTAGCACTCTAATGCAATCTGTAGGTCATGGGTTTTGAACAGGAATCTGTATGGATAAATGCATTTTTTTTTTTCTTGTGGTATGGAAATTAGTGCATATTTTACATTGGAAACGCTTACACTTTCTATTGAAAAAGTGAAGGCTTGAGGTATTGTCTTGCCTGATACTTTATTGTAATTGAATTTCTTTTTTGTGATATTGTAAATAAGTTTTTATATTCATATACTTTGATGCCTTGTTTTATGTTGGTGCTTTTTAAGTAACAGGAGTTTGTGATAATTACTTTATTCAGTTATTGAGGAAGAGGAAAGGGATATCCTTTTGTTCAGCCGAGGTGGCTGTATTTGTTTAAGTATCTGTATTTCTGAGTTTCCTTTGATTTGGCTTTTCTTCTGCTAACTGAGAAGGCTCCTTTCACAAAAGCTTGGCAAAGTTTATTGTGATGGTGTGTGAAACACCATAATTGTGTCTTGTATGTCTACAGCGTGAGGTATGTGGCAAACGATGGTTATTATTCTTGAGTTGACAGGTGACTTGGGCAGGTATTTTCTTGAAATTCTTAGGATTTGGGCTTCAGGTAATTTGGACAATCTGACTTTCACTGAAACTGGTAAATTTTTCAGATGCGCTCATTCTTAAGATTGTTTTTTTCTTTAGCAAATCTCTCAGTATTTTAATAAGGCTTGCTGCAGTGGTTTAACTTCCTTCACTTTATCCTATTCCTCTCTCAGATCCCACAGTAAGTTTTAACTATCTCTGCGGCAAGTTTTATAGAAGGAAACTCATGTGAGTCTCAACTAGCCTAGTTCTTAACACGTGGCACTTTAGCTTGAAAGTGCCTATGAATGTGGATTGGGTAAGGAGCTGTTATGAACTCTATTTTGCCTGATGAGGAGTTTTGTGATCTGCTGCTGCATTCTCTACGTGGTGATCTACAGCAACTGAACAGAGTTGTATGGGACAGTTATTCTGAACTACTACACGATCTTCGTACTGAGAACATCTTTGCCAGACCCCAAAGCTCACTGATTACCGCTGCCTTCCTCTCCCCACCATCTCAATTGTTTCTTTTTTGATTCTCACAAGTATTCAAGCAGATCAACTTATGGAGCAGCAATATTCCTAGGGCTCCATAAGGATACTTTACACAAAATACGTAGCAGCGGTCTTTCCACATAGCTGCTGCATGTCCAAAAAGTTGAGTGCTCTAAAAGAGTATTGATTCAGAACCTATTGAGAAATGTCCGTGTCAAATTTCCAATTCCTTTTCTGTCTGGATTTTTTAATTACTTTTAATGTAAATGCTATGTTAGCATTAAAATGCAAGCGTAAGTGGTTGAAGTTCTTCAACTGTGTATGAGGATCACTTTTGGTTTTTTAACGTAAAACCATTGTTTTCTTTTGAGTAGGCATCTGTGTAATTTATTTAGTATATACTTGAATGCTGGCTTGCTGTTGGAAAAAGTGGAAATCTTGGTCATATCAAATCTAATGGATTTCTTAACTTTGAAGGAGTTGCATAACTGTACATCAATAACTGCATGATTTAATCCTGCAGAGTTTATCTTCACTGCTAATAGAATTGCAAATACTTATTTTCATGTTTCTCTTTTTGTAGATAACAACAAGAGAAGATACCAATTCAAAACAGGCAACAAATATCAAAACAGACCTGGAGCCTGAAGCATTCCGGCCAAATCTTAGCGATCCCAGTGAATTACTCCAGCCCGAACAAATTGAAAAGGTATTAACTTATTTATGTGCATTGATGTTTCACACATGCTATGACCAAAGTGCAAAACACATCAACAGGAAGACTTTGTATGATATTAAATTCATAAGCATTAACATAATTCATAGCTAAACAGTTGCACTTGTCTCTTACAACTTTCAGTACACCATGACAACACTAGTCTGTGTCTTTGCCCTTATTTCATTCTTCCTTGAAAACAGCTTGGCTTTTACTGCGGTTCTTACTGCCCAGTCTGAAGTCACCTCCTGAAATGTCTTCATTGAATGCTTGCACCAAGGCTAATTTGTGTTCAAAAGCACAGGAACAGGAGAGCAAGCGTCCGTTACTTGAGTGACTTGGTTTCCTGGTACTGAGATGTTACTGTCTTTAGGTAAACCTTTCAGAGACATTACCAAACACGTTCGTCAGTTTGTAAATTGTTCTTCTCTTGCAGGACACTGGTAGAGCTAGGGAGAGAAACCTACTTGAGAAACCAGGGATAGAAAGTATACATGTGAAACTTCAGGGTTGGTATGAAGTTTTAAACTAGCTTTTAAGGCCACATGTAGTAGTTCAGAAGAACATAACTGTACTTTATTTGTAAGTAATACATTCTTAAAAACAGTAGAAAATGTATTAAATAAAAGGGTTATTGTTGTCTTTTTTAATAGCTCACAAAGTCTCTTCCACCACGGACCATTGGATATCCATGGACTCTTGTCTACAGTACTGCAAAGCATGGCATGAGCTTGAAGACTTTGTATCGAACTATGATGGGATTAGACACACCTGTCCTGTTGGTTATCAAGGATAGTGATGGACAGGTAGGAGAATGTTTGTGTGGAGGTAGGGGGCCCACTCAAGAAATTCAGCCCATTATGGGAGATGAAATTGTGTGTATCTAGCTTGTTTTTTCCCTTAGTGGTTACACAGTCTTCTAAAAACATGTTTCACTGTCCAGCAGTCCCCTGACATACTACATTTCTAGGAGATACTTAATGATACGAGTTCACTGTCACAATTCGTAAGTCTCATAATACCCAATTATTCAATTTACTTTTAATATTCATCTTTTAGTACATTTAGAGCACAAGGAATGTAGTCTCTAAATTTTTTTTTATTATGGAAGATCTTACTGAGTTGAAATGTCATTGCCAGCTGTGGCCAACGCTTCTTGGTATATTCTGTGGCTGCAGCCAATATCTCTTGTACAAGGGCTGGTGGGATCTTTGTGTAATGAGTCATTGTTCCTTGAGTCTCTGTAGCTGTGCTTTATTCTGTATTCTTTGACTGGGCTATCAATTCCAGAAAGTGGATCACATCTTATCATTTGAACAGCAAACATTCTCTCCTGAGTATTCTAATAACAGGTGAACATTACAGGCATCAGGAGATTTTGATTCTTTCTTTCTGGAACTTCGGTGCTCTCTCATGGATGCAAGTTACTGCTGTCCTGAAGAACTGACAAAGCCACTGCAAAATCTGTAGCATTTACTTCACCTACCTGTGCCACTTTGATAACGACTGTTTTTATTTTCAGGAAGCATGGGCTCATATCACCTCATATCATTCAGGGGGTCTGAGAACTGTAAATGAAGGGTATGTTTTCCAGTTCAAGTCACAAATTGTTTCTTTTCTTCTGTTTCCTGCCTCAAGAATCCCTTAAAAAGAAAAATACCTCCTAAATCTCTGCTAAAACATCACTCTTT